AAGTTAACAAAGAAATGACTTTTGTTCCTTTTTAAAAAAATCTTTGCAGCAGTCCTAAAAGGGCTATTTTAAGCAACAGTAAGATAAAGCAAATCAACCAATTTGTTAATGTGAGGAAATAAATGTGTTCCCCAGCATTTTCAATGTGACAAATAAGTATGCTTACCAATCGTTATTTTAGTATTACAGATGAAATGCAGAGGTTTTTTTTTATTTCAGGATTTTCATTATATTATATATTGATTTTTATCACAGAATTATAGGATAAAGTTACATTGTAACTGATATGCCTTAGTAAACTTAATTTAAAATCTTGCCCTCTCAGAACACTTACAAGAAGAAAATGACCTTCAGCAGTATTAAATTTAGGTCCAGTCAATAGTTCTCAAGAAGAGATTAAAAAAAAAAAGTTTGAGCATCATCAGATCAAGTAAATGCCAAGTTCATCATCTTAATTTGGGACCACAGATCTCTCAACAGACAATAAACATGCATTATGAGCTAGTACATTTAGAGTGTTATGAAATAAAACACCTAATGTAACATCAAGTTGCACAGGCTGTATGACCTTATAAGACTCTTGCAAATTTCCTTAGAATTATCCAATTATCGTTTTTAAATGACTGAAAGGAAATACAGAAAAAAGAAGACAGCTACTTTGTTAGGATAACAAGATAATTCCAGTTTTGTTTTGTGGTGCTGGAGATCTGAACCCAGGGCCTTGTGCATGCAAGGCAAACACTCTACCAACCAAGCTATATCCCCACTCCCTATGCCTATTTTTATTAGTTCTATTGGTCTTGTTTATAAATTCACTACTTCCATAATTACCTTCATCAGATGCATCTGAGAATCCACCCAGTTGATACAAATGGAGAACTATCTATAACCTAGCTACCTAAGGCGTGGTACTCTGAACAGCAATATCCACAACACTTGGGAGCTTGTTAAAAAAGGCAGAATCTCAGGCCCTGCCTCTGACTCTGCATTCTAACAACCTCCCAGAGAAATCCTGTACTCATTAAAGATTGAGAAGCTCTGGTCAACAAAACCTAAAGCAAGGTTCTCAAGAGAGGTGTAAGGGGAACAATTTTGTCTGCTAGGACACATCTGACAGTATCTGGAGACATTTTTCAATGGGTGCCAGTGGAATTACAGGCACTTGTCACTGCCCCAGTTGGAAACCAATTTCATGGATAGAGACCAGGGATGATGCTAAACATCCCACAAGGCGAAGGATGCTCCTCTCCCCAAAATTTCAGAGGTTGAGAAACCATGACATAGAAGAAAAAAGAGTTTGCCTATATATATCATTGACAATAAAAAACACAAAATAACATCCAAAAGCTCAAGTTGTCCTTTTTGTAAGAATTCAAATAGTATTCATATTTTACTCCTATTTTTACTGGTAAAAAGCTATAGGCTATAATTCTACTTTAAAGAACATGAGGTTATTGAATAAAGAGAAACAATACCATGTTTCCTGAAATTTTGAACAAAACATTTAAACCAAAATTAAGTCATGACAGGAAAAATTCATTGAAAATAATCCTTTCCAAATATTGACATTATAAAATTATACTAATATTGTTGTAGACAAATTTCTAAACATTCAAGAACTATTCAAGTATTTAACAACTTTCATTGTCAACATGCTTATTTATTACTAAACTATCATCTGAAAGAATTTATTTCCATTTTTTGGCCTGAGCTTTTGTTACTTTATTGTTAGCCAATCAATTAATATTATCCAGAATTAGAGGTGTAACTTAGTTGTACAACACACAAATATACTAATGGTAAAAGTCTACTGGGATTTACCAAATACTCATTAGTATATTTTTACATTGCTTTTCAAACAAGTGTTCTCAACTGCTAATTATAAGTTATATGACTCTTAAGGAAGAAAAAATAATGCTATTAGAAGAAAAGGTTCTGAACTGAAATTGCTGTACTAAAACCATATTCTAATTATAAAAAATTACCTGATAGATCTAACTTGTAATTATAGTTGGGGGGAAAAACCCTCTACTCTTGACAACTGACTGAAAATCTCAAGAGTTCTATTAATGGTATTAATAGACTATTAATAAACTTGGGTACGTCTGTAACATATCAGGAAATTCACAAATAAGACCCTACCTTCCAATTGGCACAATCTAGCTCACAAAGCATATTTAATAAGTGCTAGGAAATAATATATCTATTGGTACTAGAGACTGAACCCAGGGGTGCTTTACCACTGAGCTACATCCCCAGCCATTTTTATTTTGAGACAGGGTCTCGCCTTAGAGCCTTGCTAAATTGCTGAAGCTGGCCTTGAACTTTCAATCCTCTGCCTCAGCCTCCCAAGTCACTGAGATTACAGGCACTTGCCACTGCACCTGGTGAAAACCAAAATAATTTTAAATTTCAAATTAAACTATGTGAGAAGTGTATCCAAGGCCATACAAATAGATAACAAAAGCAGAACCAACAGCCACTCTGAGTATTTGTTAGCTTCTGAAAATGTTAATGAAAGCACCTCAACATAAGAAAAAAATCTTTCATAGCTCTCATTTTCTATGAATTATTTTATTTTCCTCTGAATGAAGAACTCAGCCACTACATACACTAAAAATAAAGTTTCAACCATTTAAAAGGATAAGAAATATAACTGAGTAATGACAATCTGATTTCCACAAATCACTATCCCAATCACAGCCAGATCAGTTTAAAAGACTTTCATTATCTTAATGTACTAGTAAATTATATTTTAATAGAGACAAAATTGCCTTCTGGGCCACTTTCCACAGCTCCATGACCTTCGATCAGCTAAACAGGTATAGCTGTGCCTGACTAGACATTCTCTTTGCCTGGGGATTGGCTCACAGAAAACCATAAGAAAGAGTTATTATTAAGAATAAAAGATGAAGATGAGAATAAAATTTAAACATAAAAGTAATTACAGTTGAAAGGACATAAAAAAACACCTACTACCATCCTTTCATTTTAAAGAAGGTGAAATAAATCAGCAAGTCAAGTAATATGCCCAAGGAAAACAGCCAGTTAGCAGGTCTCATGGCTTCACGAAGTTCTTTCAGCCATTCCACATTCAAAGGCAGCTGTACACAAAAGCACATTAACATTTACGAGCAAATGTGCAATAATACCATCTATTCAATGTCACTACCTTCTTCAAGATGCTCAGTTACTAAGAGCATTCAGAACCTTAGAATTTTAGAAGTGGAAGAGGGGATCTTTAATGACTCCCCACCCTAAAGTAAGGTAATATCCAGGGGGATATTACTGTTCTATTCATTCATTCCACAAACATTTACTAGTCTCCTGTAATAAATTAGGCATTGAGGATATAAAGATAAACAGCATAACAATAACAGTTTTCAGAGCTCACGTGGGACAGAGAAAAGAAAACACAGATGTAACACAAGAGATGGTTATTTAAAAAAAAGTATTCATTGACTGGGGGCAGAAAAAAGGAAGTAATCAACTCTGGTTATAACACCAAACACCATTCATGAACAGAGATAACTGTTTACACCACTGAATGCTTAACTTCAATCCTCTGTATTAAAAGGTAAAAAACTTTAAAAGTTGTGTCTGGCCTGTGTGTCTGCATGTGTGTAACCTGAATATGACTCTGAGGTAAACCATATTATCCTCATTTTTGTACTTATTTATTTTATTTCTTTATATATTTGTTTATTGGTACCAGGGATTGAACCCAAGGGTGCTTAACCACTGAGCCACATCCTCAGCCCTTTTTATATTTTATTTAAAGAGAGAGTCTCACTAAGTTTCTTAGGGCCTCCTGGAGTTGCTGGGGCTGGCTTTGAACTCCTCCTGCCTCAGCCTCCCAAGAGGCTGGGATTACAGGTGTACACCACACCGTTGGCCTCATTTTTCAAAGAAGGAAGGCAACTGTGGGAAGTTTGTCCCAAGACAGGATATACCAGAGCTATAATTTGAAACCAGGCTTGTCTGCCTCCAAAACCACACTCCTTTCTTCTCATTAAACTGTAACTGTCTCTGCACAGAATTTTGTTTAAATCACCCTCCACTGTATTTCTCTTCATTCTACAGTAAGCAATGCAGCCTGTAATAAGTGATTCTAGTCTTCAAAGTTTCTAATTTCTAAATTCTAAAACAGTTTTAAAAAAATCAACGAAGGAAAGGCAAGAAACGGTTCTGATACTGTTTCCTCTATTTAAGAAACTCACTGTAGAAAATGAAATGCAGATAGCTCATTTCTACACTCATGTCTCACTTAAAGGATTCTTACCTCCTCTATGTCTAGGTCACACCATAGATGCTCCATTAATGATAGCACTTTTCTTCAAGCTACTGAGAGAACTAGATCTAAAACTTTCTAAAGCACTTGAAATTTGAAGAAGTACTAAGCGTTTTCTTTTATTGTTTTGATTCCAGTTCAAAATATCTTGAAAAGCAGCAGAGTGAAAAAAAAAAAAAAAAGTCATGCTCCAAAGGAGCTAATGAGGAGCCTAGGAAGCAAACGCAGGGAAGTCCGCTAACATTCTACAGCAAGCACATTTCACCTCCTGGCAAAAGTGAACAAGTTCAGACGCTGCGGGAAGGGTGGAGGAGAAGGGGGCAGAGAATAGAAGCTACCGTCTCAATCCCTAGTATTAAACCCAGGGTCTCCACACCTCCACAAACCACGAAGGGAAAGCCCCGCGGGAAAACAAGGGTATCTTCTATTTAAAAAGTTGTATGAAGTGTATACTAAGCCGACCTGCAGTCTCCAATAACACAACCCGTGGAACAACAAAAATGGCCTTTTCTGTGCGTTTAAACAGATCTGGACATTAAATCTGAGACCTCACTTCAAATTCCCAGGAGAAAAAGATGCCCGGTCCCGGTAACACGGTTTTCGCGGCGCGCGGTCGCCTGGCCGCTCCGGGCACCGGCGCCGGGCTGCCCAGGCCACCCGCCGCCTGGCTCCCGGCATCCCGAGAGCAAGCGCCGCCGCCCACACTCACCTCCCGGCGAGCCCAGCCCCGCGCAGGCGGGACCCCAGCGCCCAGCCACCAGCTGAACAAGGAGGAGAAGGCGGAGCGCGTGGAGCCCCGACCCCCGCGCCGCCATCGTCCGGCCCCGCGAGGGAATGCGGCAGGCGACTAGCGACCCCTGAGCAGAGAACACCGACTCCTGGAGCGCGAGGGGTCGGAACGAGGGAGGAAGACACAGCTGACCTGCCACTGGGCTCCTCAGCTCCAACCCGCGAAGCCCACCTCAGCTTCGCGGCTTTGAGAGGGCGGGGCACGCAGGAGAAGCTCTAGGGAGCTTAGCCCCGCCCAGGTCCCGCCCAGTATCCACTAGGCCCCGCCTCCAACCCAACCCCATTTGCTCCTAGCTCCGCCTTTTCCACACCTGGTCCGGCCTCATAGTCCAGGCCCAGTCCCCAGGCCAGACTTCAGACTGTTGGACCCCCATCTGCCTCCTGTAGCTTCTGTAGGCGCCAACTGACTCCATCAGGAGACCTATGCTCTGGACAAGCAAGGCGACCCCTGGGCAAGTTACCCTCCTTTTCTGGGCCTGTTTGTCCTTAAAATGACGTGGATAAACTAGAGAATTCGAAAGGACAGCTGCCACAACAGCTCTGACACTCATTTATACCATCCGTGAAAAGAAGACGCAATTGCTTCAAACATAGGCAATTCCTTTCGTGTTGCCATCAATTAACACTTGTAAATATCGGTGACTTCATCTGCCACAGATTCTTAGCAACTCTGATGGCGATTGATGCTGACTGCTGGATTAGCGTCTCAAATCCCTGTAGACCTTATACTGTATCTCATTCCTTCCGTTCATAATTGATTAGAAAGCTTCATTTGGTTGAAGGGATTCAGGTGAATTATCTTTAAACTTCAGTGGCAGAGCGAGCCACTGTCTTTTCACAGAAAATTATGGAGCTGACACCTCTAAAGAGTAAAAATTTCACTCCAAGCTTCAGATTCCGTAAATCTGTTAAAACCGAAACCTGGTTTTAAAGAATTCTCAACCGCAAGATTCAGTTAAGACTTTTTTCCCCCTAAGTCTAAGTACAACCAGGAAATGGAAACAATGTCCAACCAAGCCAGTTTGTTGAAGCAGGACTTAAAGGACGCCCAGAAAAAAGGATACATATGATGATAACCAGGTTAGTCATTAATTACACTTCTGCACAGGAATGAAAGACAGTATTTAATGTCTCTTGACTGCAATTTTATATTTTTCTCTGAATAATACATGGGGCTTATATACACTTATGCAATTCATTCAAATAGTGTTTGGATGATTTCAAAGTGTTATTCTTCTTTTACAGCTAAGGGATTTGAAAGAGAAAAGGTAAATAACTGCTGAAGGTCACAGCTCCTCTCTGTGGCAAAAGTAGAATTCAATGGTTGTTAACTCAGCCAACAAGCATAATTGGAATTCCATTACCTACTCAGCGTGTGGTATTAATAACCATGAGAAAAAACTATCTATATAACCTGTGAAAAGCACTATTAGTTGTTGTTATTGTTTTAAAGTAAAAGGCATAGTGTATAATTTCTTGGGCACTTTAAATTTGTAGCACATAATCACAGAATATAATGTGTGCATCTTGGATGTGTTTTCCCCGCTGGGACATGCCAATTACTTGTGGTTGCTGGAAGTGGTGGCTGCATCTGACTCTGGTAACAGGCATCTTCACACTGCTAGGAAACACTGGCTGATCAAATGACCATGCAAATGACCATGTTGCAGCTGACTCCTACAAAGTTCCCCTGAAGGAACATCTGCCTAACAACTTTCTGAGCTTTAACCAAATGAACTGTCATACAGTTTATATAATGCACCTGCATCCCACACACCATATTTTTCTCTGAAGATTGTGGATTTTATTTATTTATTTATTTAAGTGTTGGAGATGGAACCTAGAGCCTCATGCATATCAGGCAAGTTTAGTACTGAGCTACATTCCCAGCCCAAGTCTGAACTCTTAAACATAGTTTATACTGATCTCTCCCTAGAATGTGACATTTTTACTACCCTTTCCTATCTTCACTCAGCCTGCTCTCTTCCCCTTCTTTGAACATCCAAACCCACCCCTTCAAGGCCCATTGCAAATACCACTTGTCTTCTTTTTGTATGTGTCTTTTATATCTTATGTCCTCTACTAGATAATGAGCTCCACAGCCTATGGTCTATTTTATTCAATTTTATCATACACTAGCCAATCAGTACTTTGCCACAGAAAGTCCAATTTAATAATTATCATTAATCCCACTAAGTAATGGGGAATGTAATAAGTGTAGCACTTTTTAAAATACTAGCTCATTTAATCTCAAGCAATAGTACTAGAGAGGAACTTTTATTTCATTTTAGTTTGTTTTGTTTTGGTCAACTCCTTTTCAATTCTCCTGGCAATTCCCTCCTCTTCCATTCAGACTCTGCTTTTTGCGAATTCCACAGTCCCATATCACTGCTCCTTCCCTTTTGCACACTAAATTCTAGCTATTCCAGCCCCTTGAGTCCTGCAGTCCTGCCCAAGGGTCTTCACCTCCACTGTTCCCTCTGCCTGAGCTATTCCCCCCAATCCTCCTCCTCCCTGCTTTGCTTAATTCCTACTCCTGTTTCAGCGCTACCTGTTATGTCTTGAGAGACAAACCAATCTATCTAAGGTGGACCCTCATTCCCTCTATCACTGCCTATTCCTTCCTGTCACCATATTTGTCATAATTTGTAATTCTATTCTTTTAGTGTGTTAGGTATCTGATTCCCCCCATAGATAACTAGCTCCAGATAGGCAGCAGCTGTGCCTGTTTTATTCGAGGGTGTATGCTCAGTATATTGAGCACATGCCAGCTGCTCAAAATGTTTGTTGGGAGAATAACTGCATGTTAACTAGTTTGCCCAAGACCTCAGACTAGTGAACTAGAAAGTGGCAAGTATAGATTCAAACCCAGGTGACCTGACTTCAAAGATCTCACCATTTTCTAAACTAAACTTAGTCTCTCTCATTCCTCATCTTTAAAACGGTGACTTATAACCTGCCTGGCAGGAGATACAGTTTGTACACAAAGTTTGCACAGTGCCCAATAGTTTAATGCATGGTAGCTATTATTATTATTTGTGTGACAATTATTCTCTGATGTGTTTTCCCACCTACAAAAGCCCTAAACAAAGGGCAATTGGTGCTTTGGAGTTAAAAGAGAGTGCATGGAAGGGGAATTATTGGGTCAAAAAAAAAATAGCAGGAATCAAAAATAAACATTGTCATCTGCAAGTGGTATGGCCTAATGAATCGCCTTGTATATAGATGTTGCTGCTGGCTTTTCTTTTTTATAATGGGGTCAACTGAGCTAAATTCAGAGCTAGGCAGCTTCTCCAAATCTTCCATTCATCATTTCCATCATGGATTGGTGATAAATTCTGCTGTGAGTCTTTTAAGATGAAAGCCAAAACTGAAAGTTAATTAAAGATAAAAATGGATGCTGTCAACTTTAGTGACAAAATTGAAAACATTTTTATAGGTTGGAAAAAAAATCAAGTATTGATAGGATATTAAAATTCAATACTTCAAAATAAATTATATAAAATGAATAAGTCCCTTTCAAGGGCTATTTCAATGGCTACAATCAAAATATAAAAATTCAGATATATATTTTACATAGAGAGCTTTAAGAAAGAAAATTGTTACAATATTTTATTAGATTGTAATAACTAAATACTGCATAAAATCAAATATCACAAAACATTAATACATTCAAAACTCAGCTATCCCAATAAAATTTAATAATAGTATGCATACCACAATGTCACAGACTTGATTACCAATAGATCACAAAATTGAGGGCTGGGGATGTGGCTTTTATTGCTTGCCTAGCATGCATGAGGTCTTGGGTTCAACCCTCAGAACCAGAAAAGAAAAAAATTGAAATCTTTAAAAAACAAAAGTTAACAAAGAAATGACAGTTCAGCTACTGTACAGTAAATTATAATATATCTTGGACAAATATCAGCAATTATTAAAAATAAAGATATTATTTCCACCTTAGAAAAGTGTGATACAAACCCCCATGTCCTCTAAAGTTACAAGTTTTTAAATCTGGGAGTGAGGAATCACATTGTGAAAATTGTTTTCCTTTTATGCCAAATCCAGATTTGTGTAGATAAAGCCTTCCGTGGATTTGCAATTACAGTCATGCATCACTTAATAAGTATGTGATGAGAAGTATGCCATTAGATGGTTTCCTCCTTGTGTAAAGATCATAGAGGGGGGCTGGGGATGTGGCTCAAGTGGTAGCGCGCTCGCTTGGCATGCGTGCAACCCGGTTTCGATCCTCAGCACCACATACAAACAAAGATGTTGTGTCCGCTGAGAACTAAAAAATAAATATTAAAAAATTCTCTCTCTCTCTCATTCTCTCTCTCACTCTCTCTTTAAAAAAAAAGATCATAGAGGATTGATACACAAACTAAGACAGCGATATTAATATTAATATATAATACTATATAATAATATTAATATAATTAATATTTAATATTAATATATAATACTATATAATAATATTAATATAATTAATATTAATATATAATATTATATTATATATTAAGACTAAGCAATAGGATCACCATCATATATGCAGTCCATTGCTGACTGCAATGTTTTTATAAAGCACATGCATATATGAGCAAAGCTCAACATTCATATACTTAATAAAGACAACTTATTAGGAATATGTACATATTATTGAGTTAAATGATCTGTTCTCCATAGATGATAGATAATAGGATATTCTCCGTATCATATTGTAAATTTAACAAGAAATTTAGGCCTTTATTTTAATGTCTATAAGATACAATTATAAATATTCAATTCTGTGCAAAGACTATAAGTATTCTTTTTTTTTTTTTTTTTAAAGAGAGAGTGAGAGAGGGGGAGAAGAGAGAGAGAGAAATTTTTTTAGTATTTATTTCTTAGTTCTCGGCGGACACAACATCTTTGTTGGTATGTGGTGCTGGGGATCGAACCCGGGCCGCACGCATTCCAGACGAGCGCACTACCGCCTGAGCCACATTCCCAGCCCAGACTATAAGTATTCTTACCAAATATATATCTCCCTTAGATATATTCTGGATATGAGAAGTATTTGTAGACACCACTTCATATACCAAAAGAAGTCCAAAGTACAAATTATACTGCAGGTAGAGACCACAAATAGTGCAGGTCTTCCAGCTACAGAACCACCATCTTAGAATTTAATTCCTTGATTGCCGATTCAATTGCTTAAGGATTGTTTCTATTTCA